GTTGAAGCTATTACAGCAGCAAATTAAATACTTGCCAAATGCTGTCAGTTTGTGACCGAGGTGTCCAAAGTACACAAAGGTCTGGAGTCTCTTTGGTGTGCGTGCAGTGTTTGACTTGAGGTGGTGTCTCAGGCTGGGAAGACAACAAGTTAACTCCCCGCTGGCTCTGGAGTGGAAGGCGAGCGGCAGCTCTTACCAACGGGCAGTATTTTCTCAAACATAACAATAAAGCAAAAATGTTGGGTTAAACTTCTGCAAAGCAAACAACATGAACGTTGTTCTGAACGTGTGACATAGTTACTGTCCCAGATAACCAGTGCTTATTGCACTGGAGCTATGAAATACTCCTTTGTTCCACTTGTGCCTGGCTATCTCTCATCTCAGCTACTTCAATTCCTCCTTTTTTGGCCTGCTCCTTCCTTCTTTGGCATGCCACTTCCAGCGCCAGTTTTCTGTTTCTGATCATATCTTACAAGGGGGTTTGTGTTTCTGTCTTGCATTTTGAATGCCTCATCGTTACTTCTGTGTTCTGCATAATTCTACATCTGCCAATAGATTTCTTCATGTTTCAGCTCTTATGAGCCCAAACGATCTATGATTGCATGGTTATTGGTATTTGTACACAAACCAGTGCTCCATGCTGAGTTAAATAGGAAATTAGAGTATTGCAGATTGCAAGTGAGAATCCATTGACAGTTACTGAGGTTTGATTTTGTTGGTTTAACACTTGCTCATGTTACAGATGCTTTGGGAACAACCCTCTGATGCTGGTTGTGATGCTTCTGAAATGGTTTCAGTGTACAAATACAATCTAATAGTGTGTCTTGCTTTTGAGTCTTTGAATGCTGCTGGCTTTGAGGTGAAGGAACACGATAGTGCTGTAACTAGTGACATTAATGCAGTTTTCTCCATCACAGAATCACAGGCTGGTTTGGGTTGGAAGGGACCTTAAAGCTCACCCAGTTCCAACCCCCTGCCACGGGCAGGGACAGCTTTCACTAGACTAGGGTACTCCAAGCCCCATCCAGCCTGGCCTTGAACACTGCCAGGGATGGGGCAGCCACAGCTTCTCTGGGCACCCTGTGCCAGCACCTCAGCACCATCACAGTAAAGAGTTTCTTCCTAACATCTAATCTTAATCTCTGCTCTTTCAGTTTAAAGCCATTCCCTCTTGTCCTATCACTGTGTGGTGAATTGACCATGGCTGGCTGCCAGGTGCCCACTTAGGTACTCTATCAATCAATCCCCTTTCTCAACATGACAGGGAATGTAAAAGTAAGGAAAAAATACAAGGACTTGTGGGTTGAGATGAAGTCAGTTTAATACAGAAAAAGCAAAGGCTGTGTGCGGAAACAAAGGCAAACAAAAATCTTCAATCCATACTTCCTAGCAGCAGGCAATGTCATTGTAAAAGTATGTTGGTAGTCCTCAGTTTGCTTATAAGGAATCAAGGCTTACAGCACAGGGTCGTGCTTGTACCCCCAGCCAAGAGCCACCTTTATGGCTGGCCATAACAAGGGGTTGAGCTAGTGCCACTTTGCCTTCTTTACAGCACCTGCACACGCAATGGAAGAAAACAAAAATGTGAGCAAATCTGAGACAGGACCTGGGGCTCTGCAGAGCCCCCTTCCCAACTGCAGCTATGGTGCTGGGGTGCTGAGGATGGTAATCTGGCTTCTGCACAGGCCCCTGCAAAGCCTGGGTAAGGCCTCAGGGCACTCTGGAGGGGAATTAGCATCTTTTGTAGGTTGTGTCCCAAGTGCTGGATGCAGTGCTCTAAGTGGGCTCTCACAAGAGCAGAGTAGAGGGGCAGGATCACCTCCTTCGACCTGCTGGTCACGCTCCTTTTGATGCAGCCCAGGATATGGTTGGTTTCTGGGCTGAGTGCTCACTGCTGGGTCATGCTGAGCTTCTCATCAATCAATGACCCAAAGTCCTTCTCCACAGGGTTACTCCCAATCCCTTCATGCCCCAGCCTGTACTGATACTGGGGATTGCTCCACCCAGGTGCAGGACCTCGTGTTTGGCCTTGTTGAGCTTCACTGTGCTCACTTGGGCCTCCAGCCTGTCCAGGTCCCTTGGACACCGTCCCTTCCCTCCAGTGACTCAACGGCACCACTCAGGGTGGTGTCACCGCGAACTTGCTGAGGGTGCGTTGTGCGGCAGCGGTGTTTGTTTGAGCCCTTCCCACTCAGCAGAGCGATGCACTATGTCAGCATCATCAGCATGTATCAGTGCAGGGCACTGACCCTCCTGCCAGTTTGTTCCTGTAACCACAGGTTCCCTCATCACCGGGCATTTGGGCTTGCGGGGCCTGCTAGGGGTTTTGGTAGAACATGCTGAAATTGTAAACTCACTGTTTTCCACCCAAAGTGAAACTCCATTCATGTGATGTTCAAGTTCAGCCATCATCTGAACTAGCACAAGCTGTATCCCTGATTCAAGGCTGAAGTCAGCTCTTCTTCGTTCACCATGTGGCTTGTTAGCTTGTCCCTTACCTACTTTTTATTAGCTGTGTTCTCCGATGTGCCTTGTAGGCAAATGACCTTCCCCCACAGAGATGATGACAATCATAGAATCATAGAATAGTTAGGGTTGGAAAGGACCTTAAGATCATCTAGTTCCAACCCCCCTGCCATGGGCACGGACACCTCACACTAAACCATGTCACCCAAGGCTCTGTCCAACCTGGCCTCAAACACCACCAGGGATGGAGCATTCACAACTTCTCTGGGCAACCCATTCCAGTGCCTCACCACCCTAACAGGAAAGAACTTCTTCCTCATATCTAATCTAAACTTCCCCTGTTTAAGTTTGAACCCATTATCCTTTGTCCTATCACTACAGTCCCTAATGAAGAGTCCCTCTCCAGCATCCCTATAGGCCCCCTTCAGATACTGGAAGGCTGCTATGAGGTCTCCACACAGCCTTCTCTTCTCCAGGCTGAACAGTCCCAACTTCCTCAGCCTGTCTTCATACAGGAGGTGCTCCAGTCCCCTGATCATCCTCGTGGCCCTTCTCTGGACTTGTTCCAACAGTTCCATGTCCTTTTTATGCTGAGGACACCAGAACTGCACACAATACTCCAAGTGAGGTCTCACAAGAGCAGAGTAAAGGGGCAGGATCACCTCCTTTGACCTGCTGGTCACGCTCCTTTTGATGCAGCCCAGGATGTGGTTGGCTTTCTGGGCTGTGAGCACACACTGCAGCCGGCTCATGTTCATTTTCTCATCCACCAACACCCCCAAGTCCTTCTCCACAGGGCTGCTCTGAATCTCTTCTCTGCCCAACCTGGAGCTGTGCCTGGGATTGCTCTGACCCAGGTGTAGGACCTTGCACTTGGCATGGTTAAACTCCATGAGGTTGGCAACAGCCCACCTCACACGCGTGTCGAGGTCCCTCTGGATGGCATTCCTTCCCTCCAGCGTATCAACCGAACTAGTCTCCTGGATCTCCTTCATGAATTCCATGCTTCACAGGCTGCGGAAATTAAGGCTTCAGTGGCAGTGGTCTGCAAACTTCTCCCCATATCCCTCTCCATGCCACCACCAGTTGGGCCACAGGAGGATCAGTGAACTGAGCCAAGTTTCAAAGAAGAATCTTAATTAGGCTGAGGGGACCCATCTGTTTAATTCTGTTCCTGTTGATTTCAGAAGAAACAAAATGTGTTTCCTCTTCACCTGGGCTCTGACTGGAACTCATTTTGCTTTTGGAAGAGAAGAGAGTGAGGAACACGAGTCAAGAGAACATGAAGAAACAAAATGATTCTCAAAGGGGTTTTAATGAAAGTCTCTTTTATTTGAATGCTTGCCATATTTAGATACTGAAGTAGAACTGTCACAGGAATGAAAATCAACTTCCCCTTCTTCCCAAGAAATCTAAAAAGTGTCACTATGTACAGAATTTACAACTATATGCAGTAGTTTATTGTTACTCTGGACTCCAATATTTGATCTCAGAAGTAAACCCATGCACACCAAAGCTAGAGCAGGAAGTGCCCATCCTGTTCCTCTTATGATGTTCTGCAAATGTTACTGTCATGCTTTCAAAATGATTGCTCTTCCAAGGAAGAGAAACTGTCCGCGCCTGAGACCTCACTGCTGCATACAATAGTCATCACCCACAGCCTCAGGAACTGCCTTCCTTGAGCAGGTGAGAAGTGAAAGGAAATGGGCCAGATGTGCAAATGTGTTTTGGTTCCTGTTTTCTGTTGGAGTCAGATGAAAAATGATATAAAGTAGGTGTAAAAAATAATCTACTGACAGATCAATGGATGTGAGGCATCTAACTACGAGATTTGGGTGGAAATCCTTTGTTTCAGGAATTTTTTTCCTATTTTTTGCCTTTCACTTACAGACGCTTCCTTCGTTTTCATGGATTATTTGACAGAAAGTTTCTGTGGTTTGATTCAAGCTGCTGCACCTCTGTAATTCCCTCTGTAACTGTATTCAGTGGGCATTACAGGCACCCAGCTTCTCTTTAAACATTAGAAACCTCAAAAATCTCTGAAATAAAGTGCTATTATCTCTAATTTAATGTTCAGTCAAATGACCATTGAGAGGATTTCTAATATCCATGTGCTATTAAATGAATTGTGGAACTCAGTCCTGGTGTGTTACTTGTAGGACTTTGCTTCTTCACTCAGCTTCATTTTCCAGTCTGGATCTAGATAGCTACTCTGCAATAAGGAAAACTGCTCTGAGCTGGTGGGATTGGAGGTGGTAACAAAGTGAGCTGAAGGCACAGAGTGGAAGTGAGCTGCAAGACATAACCCGAACTGCCGGGCTTGTGTTCACAGACCCCGTCCTAAAACCTCACCAAGAGCTGTCCTTGCTGATGTACCTCGGGCAGTGCAGAAGAACAAACTCCTTCCCCATCAGCCCTCAGGAGTCCTCCAAAATCAAGGTGCGATGACAGCACGGAGGTAGTAGACTGCTGCTGCTGCCAGTGCCGCCATGGTTTGCTGTGTAACCGAGCCTTCAGCTGTGCCTCACCCCATGCCTGGCCACCTGAAAAACAGTGACCACCTAAATCTACTGCTACACAGGTATGCTACCGAGGGCAGGGGATAGGCGGCAGCAGCGTTGCACTATGAGCAGCATTATTTAGATGTGTTCTTCCTAGGGTCATGATGCACCCAAGGTTTACACATTAGCAAGGCTTGGCTTTTTAATTAGGGAAACGAAGCATCCATAAGCAGCAAAACAAAACAGGAGGCTTGAAATCATCCTCATTTTGTATTATATAGAATTTCTATATTCATCAGTACAGGAGCGATTGCTAAACAGGTCCTCACTAGGCTTACTTGCAATTCAAACCGAGGTGGTTATTATGTAAACAGGTTAGCTTGGTGGAGGCATCTCCAGGGTGAGCTTAACCCTGTCCTATTTGGTTCCTCTTGTCTAAGTCTTATAGGCCTGTAAACGTTCATGTTGTTATACAGCACTGCGGAGTTATCAGCCACATAGGGTGGCTGGTAGTAGTTACCCTGGATGGCCTTTTGTGGTGATGAGGGTGTGAATGAGACATAGTTGTGGAAGGAATTAACTCTATGCAGAGGTGACTGTGGGGCTAAGTTGCTGCTGAATATGAGAGCTGTTGGATTTTGCTTGTTCTGGTGGGTGCTGCCATTGGAGAGGCTGCTGAAGGGATCAGACAGAGTGTTGGTGTTTTCCTCGTTGCTGCAGGGGAGGCTGCGCTGAGGGGCCCAGCTCCTATTGAACAGGAAGGGCATGGTGCGCGGCGGAGAGTTCGGGCCCCTCACGGGCTTGGAGAGGGCGTAAAGGTGTCGGAACTCTTCATCAAACAGCTCCACAACTTGACCCGTGAACTTGGAGAGGAGGTTGCGGTGAACCTGGCCACATAACCACGTGAAGCTGGAGGAAGGGACAAGGTAAGGGACAGCGTTAACATCAGCCACTAAGGACTGGGCATCCCTGCAGGGGTGGTGCGAAAGGCAAATGTGCTTTACTGCTGAAGTTCTTGCCTAAACACAGCATGAAGATGGTGTCACAGTTAAATTTCAGGTCAGTTCACATCAGTGCTCTTTGGCTCGGATCAACCTTTGTTAGTGCAGCTGCCCCTAAGCCTTCCAGAACCCTTGTCAAGTTATACAATGTCCTAAAGCGAGCGGTGATCCAGATGCACTGCGGGTCTAAAAGTCAGGTAAAGAACGCAAGGTTTGGGTGTCTGTTCCATGGAAAGGAGTTCAGACCCCACTTCTGGGTACCTCTTCCATGCACAATGCTTAAAGTCAGCTCTTACCATGTCTTATCTGCATACACATACATTGTACCTTCCCTGCAGTGCCAGGTGTAACTCTCACCACTCCAAACTGACGTTAGACAGATTAGTGCAAATAACCACCTGTCGTTTCCGTGTTGCCATACTTTTTCTGCACTGGTCAAGAGAAACACGTAAAGACTCAACCTTCCTGTTACATCCACTTCCACAGAACAAACCGCCATACCTGGCAAATGCTCATTTTCTTCACTACAGAGAAAATGAAGTTACAAACATTTCCTACAGCCTGTCCAACAATAAAACTACTACTTCGCTATAAAGTAAGGGAGAAGCACTGCAGTAGTTTTCATTCTGGTAGTCCAGAGACACATGTGAGGATACCCCATAGCTTTTAAATGATTTTTCTTTTATGTGCTTCCCTAATTCACTTGGCAAACATAAATTCATGCTCTTTTACCAAACCACAAACCAGCTTGATTGTGGTGTGCAGGCTGCCTTGTCAGAGCAGCAGCAATAAAATGAGCACAGTTGAGAGAATGAAATGTAATTACTCCCTGAGCTGATGGGGCTCGAGCTGTGCAGCAGAGGATACAGAGCAGCACTGAACTCAAACCCAAGGTTACCCTGTGTTTCAAACCTGAGGTTATTCCGTGTTTCAAGCCTGAGGTTATTCTGTGTTGCCAAACTCTGCCCAGGTTATTCCTGCATGACTTCATTAGCTACGCTGGATTTGCACAAGGATTTGGCTGTAGGTGTGTGCACTTCACATCTTGTGTTTGTCATGTTTTGACAAAAGGCCTATGAAGCTCAGTGGGACTGACAGCCTGAGCTGATGCTCAGGGAGCAAAGCCAGAGGATTTATATCTGCCCATTCAGAGCATTCTTACACTGGGCTGGGTTTGGGGCACACAGTGGTTTTACACTGATGGTTCAGGAGCAAGTGAAGGAGTGAAGAAATCACTAGTTCAATGCCACCAGCCACCCCTACAGTATACACTGTACATTTTATGACTGGACATGAAAATATACAGTAAGTTACCAGAATACAGCTTCTCCTCATCCAGTTTGTTCAAATCAGTCTAGGTATGGACAAAACCTTGGGAACCAAGGTGAACAGCCTAGAAAGCTAACTCCCTGCTGCGTGAGTAACATCTGCTGTGCCAGCTCACTATTGCCTGTATTCACCAAGAAGCACTCTCTAAACCATTGCATGTCCTTTGTCTGACTGTTCAGGAGATAATAAGCTAGGACCAAATACAAAACCACACACAGTTAGTCTGGGATATCTTCACTGAAGGTTATGATCTCATGAAAGGGCTGAGGTGTGGAGTGGCAGGTTTACACATGATGTGCTAGAAATATAGCTAGTTTACAAAAGAAAATTTAGAGATAAATAAAAATTAATTACACTTATAAATGGCTTTTAAAAACCCCACAAAATCAAAGGAAAAACCTGTTGAGCCCAATTCTGATAGTTCACTGCAGGGTAACTTCCTGGAGTACCTGGCAGACAGATACTCATCTGTGGCTCATTGACCTTATCCATAACCCTTGTGATCTGAGAACGCTGGATCCAATCAACAGCCCAAAGATTCTCAATGGGCTGGTGGCAATGGGTCAGTTGCAAAGTAACGAGGTGAGACCTGTGTGATTTTAGACAAACTTAGGACTTGTAGTGAGTCACAGCAATTTACATGCTGTGCTCTTTGCTGGAGAACAAAGAGGAGCCTGAAATAAAGACTTCACAGATTTCCACTGGCTTCATTTTAGGAGGAATTAATTAATTGGTTAGGTTTTAGGCCCTGTTTTGCTCCTTAGTTAACAATTCCAAGTGCTCTTCTGGGAAAGGCTCACAGAAGTCTGTTTTTGTCACTATCTGCCCATAAGGATCATTTTTCTACCAGACCTCTCTGAGTGAAGCACATCAGAAAGGAGAGAAGGTACAAAGAGGTCCAGCCCAGCTTTGGGAAAAAGCTGTATCACAAATTCAGTCATTGACAGATACATCTCAGATGCCTTTCCTCTTTGTCCCCAAACCTATCTGCTGTTCTGGATCCTGTCATTCAAGATGGTCTGAATCAAACCCCACCTCTCCTGTCCAATCTCCATTTGTTCTGGACTTGTTTTTTCCCCTCTGCACTACTGCAGCTGCAGTTATTAGGGACACACCCATCCCGTGTGTCTACAGCACTACAGCAACATGCAGTTACACACATTCAGTCTGAAACTGAAGGAGTGGGGTTTTCAGCTGAGCCCAGGTTTGAATTAACCTACACCTTAGTGTTGCCTGCTGGTGGGATAACCTCGTTATGAGAAACCTGTGCCACCTGAACTGAGGCTTTCAGCAGAGCACCACAGTGTTAGATGTTAGATGCTGGCCTCTGAGGCTTTCAGAGTGTCTCAGCTGCCCCTGACGACCAAGTCCTGTGCTTTCTTCTGCTCCCATTTTGCCTTCTTTAGGAGCAGAGTTCATGCACTAACTCCAATTAATTAAAGAAAATGGAATAACAGTTATATAGGATGGACAGCAAAAAGAAATACTGCATCCAAATCCCACACCACAGACATTGCCAGTAAAAAAACAGAGGAAAAGCTGTAACTTAAAACACTCGCTCATGCCTCCACTTGTGCAGACGCATGAGTGGAACAGCCTTCAGAAGCTTCCCAGCTCTGGTCTGCCCTGTGCAGCAGGACCACACTTACCCACACTGACCCAAGCAACAGCTTTTTAATGTGGTTTTAAAACCAACTCCAGAGCAGGAGATGCCACAGACTTGGTGTTTCCTTTGCCTCTAACTAGTTGCCAGCTTCAGTCCCCTTTGTTGTCCATTAGGCAAATATAGTTTGTCCTCAGACAGGTGGGCAGTGAGCCAGGGTCCCTTGTGGAGCAGAGTGTCCTAAAGGGCTGTTTTATTTCCTCAGCCTATTCCCCTCACTGATACTACAAAGTCATGCAGAGCACAGCACTGATTAAATTTGCTGTTACAGTAGTTTAAAGATCTTTTGCTTTAAGATTTAAGATCTGTTCCAGTTTGATTTCCAATAAATGCATTGCAGAAGAGTTTGAGACTGTTTTATTCAATGTCATTCTTGTTCTGCAGCAGCTGGTGCATAAGGTTCAGGGATAACAGAAAACCTTCAGATTGATAAAGTGAGAGCTAGCAAGCCTACAGAAATGCCACGTACTGACAGCCAGCCATAACCCATGTGAATCTGCAAACTGGTGCTGGGCATGCTGAAATTAAATAGTGTATAGATTTGTTCCTCACCACCATCTCTGCTTACTTGTTGGATAGGGGATTATTTAATTTGACAAGGCTCTTGAGGTTAGAGGATACTGCAACAGCAGTAGAGAATGAATGGCAGAAGTGACTGCACAGGACTTCAAGGGTTTTTCTTTTTCAGGATTGAAAGAGAAGCCAAAAGGAAGCTCAATAAAACAGATCTTGTTGTGTCCCTCTTCTCCCACACATCCCTTACTTCTCCTCTCTAAATCTGCTGTTGCATTTCTACACATTTTTGGTGAGGGACTGAAAAAAAACTGAAATACCAAGAAAACTGCAGAGCACCCGATAGGAAATCACTGAGTATTCACTCATTTTTGTTTGAGGGTTCATTTGGAAACTGGACAAAAACTGGATGCCCACCTCTGGACAGCTGAGTTCCTGCAGCCTACTCTAATGCCATGTATTCACTTTCACCTCTGGTATGGTAGTTACGGCATCTTCCCGTGCCACAGTTTTATCACACCAGAGGCGTTTAAGCTTCCAAATCATAAACTGGGATTAAGAAAAAATAATCTCATCCTTTTAATTAAATAATCACTTCTTGTATTTTTGTATGTGGATTTCCAGGACACAGTCATTTGTGAAGCTTATCTATGTAGCCATGAGGCTTAAGAACTTTATTTGATGCAAGCTCCGTCTCCTCAAATTCCCTGACTGGAGGATTTTGGACTTGAATTTAAAACCCTATTGTTGAGGTGCAACGTCCTCTACCTGAAATAATTATAGCAGCCCAAAAGTGGAGAGTTAGAGACTCAGCTCACAAACTGAGGAAACAAAAGGGAAGGTACAACAGTCATGTAGACACACACTGCCTACCTGTTAATGAAACACAAGAAAAAACAGTAAATCTCTGAAGTGTTTCTGTTTTACCTTTAATCACTAAACTTGTCACATGGAGAACAAATCCTCAGATAAACTGAGTGACATATGCTACATTAAGGAATCCTGAGGGAGATGGAAGTCTATCATGTCTCGTGATCACAGCATTTGAGGACCCAAACAATGAGAAAAGCATGATACTGAGCTCTACACATTCCTAGTGCTGCTCCAGGGATGCACCAGCTGTTTACTCCAGTTTCTAAACCTTTACATTAAATACCAGGCTCCATAAAAAGCTAACATCAGCTTTAAAGCAAATTAAATGGATTATTGAGAAATGGAAAACATGAGGGAGTTTTGTTCAAAAAAACAACATCACCCATCCAAAAACTTCCATGGCACTTTTTTGGTGAAGGAATATTCCAAATCATGAAGGAACAGCCAGCCATGAACTGCAATGGTTTATCTCACCTGTAAGAGCCAGAGAGGACATATTTCCAGTCAGAGATAAGGAATTTTTCTCGTATTTGTCCCGAGAATTTCCTGCCTGATTTGGCACAGTAAACCTCTCCAGTAACGCTGCGCACTGAGATGTTCTGCAAATAAAGAAAAAGGAAAGGAGTGGATGACATTTGTTTTCATAGTGAATCTCCAAAAGGAGATTTACTACTCCCCTTAGCTCTTCACTTCCCCAGTGTCTGTTATGAGATCTTTATGGTCTCTCTAATGTCATATTTGAAGATTTGGGGCTAGAGGAAACCCAGCCAAACTCTCTTACCTGCCCCAGGGTTACTTCTTTCAAGAGGAATATAGAATCATAGAATCATAGAATAGTTAGGGTTTGAATGGATCTTAAGATCATCAAGTTGAACCCCCCTGTATGGGCAGGGACACCTCACGCTAAACCATGTCACCCAAGGCTCTGTCCAACCTGGCCTTGAGCACCGCCAAGGATGGAGCATTCACAGCTTTCCTGGGCAACCCATTCCAGTGCCTCACCACCCTCACAGTAAAGAACCCCTTGTCCTACCACTACAGTCCCTAATGAAGAGTCCCTCTCCAGTGTCCTTATAGGCCCCCTTCAGATATTGGAAGGCTGCTATGAGGTCTCCACGCAGCCTTCTCTTCTCCAGGCTGAACAGCCCCAACTTTCTCAGCCTATCTTCATACAGGAGGTGCTCCAGTCCCCTGATCATCCTCGCAGCCCTCCTCTGGAATTGTTCCAACAGTTCCATGTCCTTTTTATGTTGAGGACACCAGAACTGCACACAATACTCCAAGTGAGGTCTCACGAGAGCAGAGTAGAGGGGCAGGATCACCTCCTTCGACCTGCAATATAAACTTGTGCTGTGTAATGATAACTGATGTGAGAAGTGTCCATAGCTGAACAGTCCATAACCTCTGCTGACACTCCAGCAACACTTGCTCTAGCTGTAAGCTTTTTTGTTTTACATCAGTTATGGCACAATAAAGCAGGACAAAACCTCTGCTCTCCCTGTCCACTTGGGAGGATCTGCAGGATCTGATGCAAGAACATGTGTGAGTGGAGAGGTCCATGCAATGCTCTGCACTGTCCCTGTACGTCAGCAAGTGCACTTAAGGCAAGCCAGGCACGCAGATCTGACTCTGCTGTCCACACAACACATTGCAGAGCCTTAGTAAATGAGTGGCACCAAGGATTTGGCTCATGCATCATTGAAGCCTGTGTATTGCAGCAGCATACTTACAATAAATAGCACAGGCTTGTCCTTCCTAAGGAGTGGGTGTTTACAGACATGCAAGCACTGTTATGAGCATGTTTTATTAATTTCAGTTTCTTTATACATCTGGGGAGGAATTCAGCTGTTGAAACATAAGTGTCTGGTGCACGTAAGATGCTCTCAGGTCTATTGCCTGCCCTCCAGCTGCTATTCCAGAAGTCTGTTGCCTCTGAGACATCAGCCATCCTCACAAAGATGCCACAGGTGCCCTACAGCATCTATGCAACAGTTGAAATGGTCCCTAGGAAGTTTAAGGTCAGTTTCCTCTGGCAGATATGATCCTATGGTTGATTCTGGCAGAGGCAAAGTTGGACTAAGCTAACAGCCAGCTAAATTTGAGGTGTGATCTTTAAAACAGATCTTCAACATGTTTTATAAGAAACCACTTAGTGCAATCAAGGTACTGCCATGCAAAATGGTTTATGTGCCTGCTACCAGCACTGCCAGACCATAGCTACTGCACAGTAATTAAACAGAAGCAGTTGTAATGCTAGATAACTAGTTGTAATGTTAGACAGCTCTACTAGGGACTTAAGCTCTGTTTTAAGACTTCAGAGCCTAGATTAGGTTCATCTAAGGACCTATGGAAATGCTTTACATTCTTATAACATCCATGGGAAAATGGAGGCTTCCTCAGAGAGGAATTAGGTGCACTAACCCTACCTCTGGAAATCCCTTGCTCCCTTTTAATTACAAGGTGGACCTACCCTCCCATAACCACGCTTGTAGCTCAGAGTGCCTAAAGTTGTGCAGCTGAATCTGAGCCTGAACGCTTCACAAAGCCACAGTACCTTGAAGAGATCCTCAGAAATTTGCAACTTGTCGCACATCTCCGAGAAGAGATTGATACTGCCGTGATCAAGCAACAAGTAGACAAACACCATGCGCTTGTTGGCTGCCTCCAGGAGGTCACAGAAAATCTCAGTGTCTGTGAACACATCCATCACGATAGCTAGCACCTAGGGAAAAACAGCAGAGGCATTACGAGGCCTGATTTATGTAAGGTCATCTGTGAGGCCACTGAAATGTAGTTTATTTGGTTGAAAATCATATTACCACCAAGAGACATCTTCAGAGGATATTTCTTCTGGTTTTCTCCCTAAGTGCCTGAATCAGGAAATCAATGAGACACGTTGCTGCTTTGTTTTATTGCTCATCTAAAGCCAATATAACACACAACTTACGCACTTCAGTTAAGCTCTTTTAATCATAAAACACAAGATGACCTATGAATTCGCAGGTGAGATTAAAGCACTAGGAACAATACTGAAACCCTAATCGGGGAATAATAAGGACGTAGTTAAAATAAGAGACTGTAGCCTGTGTCAAATGGCTGACTAGCTTTTGTGAGCCACATGCATTCAGCAAGAATCACTGCATCACGCTTTCTGTTAGGACTTATACCTGGAAGGGTCCTGGCTGTAAATCCCCACTCTGTTGTTGGGTGGGGTGATGGACTGCAACAGCTCCATCTGTTTGGGTTCTGGTTTTTCTTTTGTTAATACTGACCTATAAACTGTTTCACTGTAGCCATGCATCCATGCTTCCAAAGTCACAGCTGGCACGACAGTGTATAAAAGTCTCAGGACTGGGCATAAAAGCCCTGCCAGCTACTTAAATGCACAGCCTTCAGCCAGTGTGGATCCAGGGAACTGTAAATGTGATATAAACCCACCTTCATGCTCCAGCCCCTATGTTCAGTATTGGGCATGGCCTCTCGAAGGTACTGGTGGTCTTCATTGATGTCTACTGTTGTCCAAAGAAAAGGACATCTCCCCAGGGCAATTCAGCCCAGCTGATACCTTACTTATCTTTAGATGGTGCCTATTCCTCCACTGATGCAAAAGAGAACTCTTGCTAATTGCACTCACAGGATATTACCTTCAATCAAAACAAACTTTACAGTGTCTCTGCAGATCTGTCTTACTGTTTATTTCCAGCTTGCTCTGAATCTTACTCCAAAGCCTCTTCCTACACCTGCCAGCAAGCTTTTTCCCTTTGCCACCAATGGAAATGCTACAAGACCAAGCACATCCTGTGTGGCCAGCATCCTGTTCAGGCAAGCCAAATTATTCATGGAGAGCTGACGATCCCACACCTTTCTCCTGCTGCCAAAGCATGGTGCTTCAGAAGGGGCCTTGCCAAGGCCAGGTAAGCGGCATAAGTATGTCCAGTATCTCACATCTGCTTTTCCTGCTGACTCACCTTGTCTTTCTAAACAGCACAGTCCTGCATCAAGCCTCACTGTAGCCCCAGAGCACCCTCTCCAGCACTGCTTTTGCACCAGCTATTTCCAATTTGTATTTCTGCACCTGATTTTCCTCTTTCACTTGCAGAACTTCCTGCTGCTTTTGCCTGAATTTCATTTCAGGATTTCTACCTATTCCACAAATGTGTTAAGATTATAGTAACTACTCACTAGTTTGATATCATTCCCAAACACAATCTTTATTCTGTTGTGTAAATTGTTAATGGATATATCAAATCCTAGGCTACCCAGGATGGGCCCATATCAGATACTCATTAAGCCATGCTGCCGTTGAAAAACTGTACTCAAAAAACAGCTGCCAAATTTATACAGTGAGTAAGTGTTGCCTCGGCACCCTCTTGTAATGTAAATTAGATGGTTAAGAAGGTCATGAGAACCATGGATTTATATTCCATTTCTCACCTTTTCCCTATAAGTTTTCTCCTCTTGGGACAGAAAATCAGCCTGGGTTGATACTTTACCTGGTGCTTATTTTATTATTCCAGAGACATTTCTCCTGCTACTGTATCTTCCTGATGCTGTAACTTCAAATGACTAATCTATAATTCCTCTGATGTGCCGAGCACTTGTAGCCTTTGACAGGGCAGTTGCCAGTGGGGATTCTTCTCCCCTGCCATTACACTCATCATCAGACCCAGCACTTGCCCTTGCAGGAGAATAACACAGTGAAAGTTCGCAACTGCAGTGGGCTCTGCAGCCTGTGCTGGACAGCGGGAACTACAGCCTGGTTTTGTTCCTGGCCATTCCCCGGTAAAACTGCTAGTGACATCTCAAGTTTATCCATGAGGAAACCTCCCAGATGATCATAAACACAGCCCTGCAATGTCAAATAGTTTTTTCCGGGAAAACAGGGAACTGCCAGAACACACAAGACAGAAGCTTTTTGTCCCCCTCCAGCTGCTCAGCTTCTGTTTTCCCAATGTGTGGACACCCTGGCTTGATGTGGCACTTCTCTGCAGCCCCCCATCATCTGTCTGTCATCAGGGGCATGATCTGCACCTTCCCCATGTACCAAGTTACGCTGCAGTTTTCATACGGAGCCCATATGGCATTTTTAGTGACACTGACAGCATATTATGGATGAAAGGTCTTTTCCCTGAAAGACCATTCCCAGCCTTACTCTGGGGATGGCTGCTGGCACACCAGGCACACACGCCCTTCTCTGGACTCCCCTTCATCCACATCCCACATGGATCCCCATGAACAACTGCTAATGGCTCAGAGCTCACTTTAGCTTAATTCTCATTACTGGTGGAGCGGGCTGAATGGAGCTCATCTTGCTGGTGATGCACAAGAGGGAATAGAGGCCAGCTGCCCTTTCTACAGGACATATGCTCTGCCAGGTTAATGTGAGTTTAAAAGGAGAGGGAATGCTTTTTTTCCCTGAAGTCACCAACATAAAAAGGTGTAGGTATGACTATAAAAGAAAAAAAGCAGTATTGCCTGTGTTCAACAACAGGCTCTTTACAGCCACTTTCTAGAGCAAAGCTATACTACAATGCAAAGGGCTGGCTCAGATCAAACACCCTGTTTACATGATCTTTTTTAATACAACTGAGTGCAGAGGAAACAGCAATTCTCTCTGTACCTGAGTGGTTTTGTTGATGTACCGGCGTATGATGTCTCTGATGTTGTTGTTCTTCTCTGTCTGGAAATACACAGTGGCAGTGGATTTTTCCTTCAAATAGGGCTTGTCTGCTGTAATCCATGTGTGCAGCAGGGCTGGCTCGCTGCTGTCAGAAATGGTGGGGAAGTAGGTCCCTGAAGGGAGTGACCCAGCATAGTTCTGCTTTGGCGCAGCCGCCCCGTCGGTGGCCAGGGACTCCTCCGCATAATAGGACTCCCTGGCATTATCCTTGATGTACTGAGCTTCCACTGAGGAGAGGAAATCTACCTCGCCTTCCTTGTGTAAAGTTTCCAGGTAAGAGTCTGTCCCACCATCCAGAAAGGCATCAGTGGCCAACCTTATGCTTTCATTGTGGCTGAAATCCGCTTTTGTCAGCTTTGAGGACTGGCTCTTGATATCCTCCAGCCTTTTCCTTATCTTGCCCAAGTGTCTGGGGTTGCTCATGGCTCTTTGTCGCAGCAGATCTGCCGGGGAGGCAGTATGCATATGCACGGGGTAGGCAGCCCAATCGTCCTTGTTTAGACACTGCATTGTGGCGTGAAATCACCTCGGCTGAAGGAATTAACTATGAATAAAAATAAAGAGATCTAATTACCTCAGACAAATGCACACTCCCCGATTTCCTTGGTACAATTACCTTTAAAAAAACCAGAAGCTCAGTTCTCAAGTGGTGTACTTCAGCCACAATCTGTTTCCAGATAGGGCACAAGAGCAAAACTGATTAGATTGCTTATCTGACAGGTACCCACCTCACCTCCAGGGCATAGGATAGATTCGAGTCCAATCACCAGGGCCGTCCGATTCGGTTGTACTTCTCTTCCTGTCGCATCCTGTGCGATGTGAGCGAGGAAAGCACTCAAGCAAAAGCAGGTAGGCTCCTAAGCATCGTTGCATAATCTTCAAAACAGCTCGAGGCTTCTCTGTCTTCCCATAGTATTCGCTAGGGAGCAAAAACAACTCTGACGTTGAACTGGGACAGAGACAACAGCCATGTCCATAGCTTCAGAGAAGCAGAAAGGGGTACGGGCTCTTGTCTGCACCTACATGCTACCAGGCATGCTTAAAAATAGACTTGAACTTCGTCACTGTGCCCCGTTCATAGTATGTTGCTATTACCATAGGCGATTCACTCATTTATTTCTTTAAAGCTTTGTGACTACGCCATCCTATTAAAAGAAAAATACCCCTTCCCAAACATCCTGAATAATACACGGAGGGAGGGTTGTGAGCTGGCCTCAAAGCATCAGAAATACAAACACTCATCACTTGATTGTGCACATTTAGGGCTGGTTGGCTGGTTGTGTGTTTTTTTCTCCTTCCCAGGCTGCAGCTCCTGGAGTCACGTTGTCCCTGTGGCAGCTCGGCTGCTGTGTCATTAGCAGGACAGAGGCGCAGTTCGCAGCGGGGTGCGAGGCACAGCGCCCCGGGGAGCCAGGCCGGCCGGTATGAGTGTGTGGGGGTGAGGAGAGCAGGGTGGGAAGGCTCCCTGCCCGAGGTGCACGGTAAATACCTGTGTGCATGCCTGTACGCACAGGCACGTGTGACACAGTTTTCTCACGCAGGTTGGGTTTGTCCTCACCCTCTGTAGCTCTGTGTCCATGCACCGGTGTGCCACGGCTCCGGGGGAGGGCAGGGTCAAGGGGCATGTCAGCCTCAAGGGTTCTTGCATGGGGTTATGAGCTGCTGAGCGTGGAAACGGTGCTGACCAGTGTGCTCAGGATCATGAACGTCTTCAGTGCCGCACTGAGTGATGACACAGGCACAGAGTTTCCCAGATTCTGGGTCTGTGTCTATGTCAGATGCCCTAAGGAGGGGGCAGTGCAAGCGGAGGAGACAAGTATTAAAAGAGAAAAGGGTCTGAACTGCTTCAGATTTTACTCCCGGATCCAGAGGGCGGGAAGCACCCACAGGGGCGCTGAGGAGAGGAGGCGGCAGGGCGCGTCCCCGAGCTCCCGGTGTGGGGTTAGGAGCTACCCGTGCCCCCACCCCCCAACATCCGCCCACAGCTGTCAGACGCGGCCAACAGCCACTAATTATCCACTGACCTGCTCTGCGCAATTATGCCGGGAATGATGCCGCCTCATTAACCTGACAGGCAAGATCGCTCCCCGCCAGCGCCGATCAGCGCCTGCCGGGGCCCAAGCAGGGCCGTCACCCCCCGGCCCCGTCACCTGGGGTCCCACACTTGGTCACCCAGTGTCCCACCATGGTCACAGCAGGGCCACCGGAGCTTGCCACCATGGGACCTCTCACTGACACCACAGGGACACCCCATTGTCACCCTGGGGTCCCACACGGCCACTACAGGCTCCCACACTGTCACCATGGAGCTCCGCGGTCACCAGAGCCCCACGCCGTTTCCACAGGGCCCCTCTCTGCAACTGCGGGGTCCCACAGGCTCACTCCGAGGACCACGCCGTCACCGCGGGGCTCTCCGGCACGGCGGAAGGGCTGTGCCGTGCGGCGCTGGGCCATGCCTTCCGTCCCACACCTTCTCCCTTGTGTGTGGGGCTGAGGCGGCCCCCGGGCTCTCAGCAGCCATAGCTGGGACAGGCCCCGGGTCGAGATCTGGCGGGGCGAAACAACATACAGCCGCCTCGTTAGCGCAGTAGGTAGCGCGTCAGTCTCATAATCTGAAGGTCGTGAGTTCGATCCTCACACGGGGCAAAGGCGGGCAGCTCTTTTACTCTCGAGGTGGGACGGGCTGCTGTGGGCTGTGACCACCTCACCTCGCTTTTATGCGCGGCAGAGCTGTATAAAACTGCGCTCTTAAGCCCTCAGCACTGTCCTGTCTGTAGTGATACGAGAAGCTGTAGTTTCAGGGCACGGGGCCTGTGTTTCTTGATGCTGGGTTCATGTAGATGATGTTTGCAATTTACAGTGTTCAAAATGTGCTGTGGCACAGGACTGTCCGCACCCGCACCAGCTGCAAGCCCACTGAGGTGTTTGGGCATGGGGTCAGCCCCACTTCTGCAGTGGGCTGTGGGCCCCACAGCCAGGCAAGGGGCATGGACCAGGGGCTGCCAGAGCCACAACAGGGTACAGGCTGTGCCTGACTGGAACACTGCTTTGTACATTTACAAATCTAACCTTTTACAAACCTAAGTGTGTAACATATGGCCCAGTGCGCTGGCCAAAAGCTTCGTGGGTTTATTTTTCCGCTTTAAATATAATCATGTGCAAGCTCCAAGACAGTCATTAGAAAAGGATCTGCTGCTACTTCTGCCTCCCTAAGACGATCACTGCCTGTTGCGTTTTATTCTCTTTGAAAAGAAATGATGCCTCTTCCCCACGCTCTGCTGACGGTTCTGGTGAGATTTCTGTGAAACGTGGCTGTTACTAATGTGACCGTTTCTGGTTCCAGACACAGAGGATGCTAATATGAGGGTAAGTAACTACTGGTGCATATTTAAGTCTTTATGTGATAAAGATCTGCTGGTTCAGAGCCACTGCCTGGGTCTGGCCTCAGCATGGTGCTTCAACACGCATGGGGCACCACAAGCAGTCCTGCTGCAATACTGCTGCCCCAAAGAGCTTTAGCCAACCCCCATGGGAAGTAGAACAAATTAAATTCCAGGTCCTCATATTTTTACACAGCCAAATCTACTCTGATATCAGCATCATGTGTAGCAATTGCGAGTGATTCACTTTTTTACTCTGCCTCATTCTTTTCTAGTGTACCACCACGTAATGTTCTACTCTTGGTATAAGCATTAGCCAGTGAAATCCAGCCGAGCAGCATCTCCTCTTCCCTCTTTCTCATGAAACAAACCTGCTAATACGTGTTAACAACTGTGGGTAGCTCTAGCCACGAAGGTGCCACAGGCTCTCTGAGCCTTGTTCTCAGTGTTTGGCTGTCAGTGGAAAGGATGCTTTTCTCCAGTTGCAAATTTCACTGCTGCAACTTGCAGAATCCACTTAACACATCACTGCAAAACCCAACATTTTAACACTGGTTTCTTTCTTCAAGTCATGGCATCTACCAGGAGAAATGATACAAATACCACAGGTGTAATAACATGATGGCAAAAAATGAGTTTATTTTATAAGTAAAAATAGCATTATAGTTACTAAGAAAATTAGAAGGTTACAAACAACACACATTTTTATAGTCAGCATTTTTATTTTTATATAAAAATATTTTTGAAGGCCTTTACTATAAAGAATCTCTGATCCTTAATTGTACTATACATATTTAGCATTCCACTAATGAATAATTTGAATGTACAGCTGAGGTCCAGAGCAAACCATCTCAAGGCGTCCATGGTGTAGCTGGGAGTCGAGCTGGAGGATGTCTGGTTCTAGCCTGTGAGGTCAGCCTTTGTCTGAGCCGTCGGACTTCTGCCATCAGTTCCCACTCTTGGCGTGCCAGGTCTCCTTGTCTCCTGTCTAAATCACAGAATGGTTTGGGTTGGAAGGGACTTTCAAGATCATCCAGTTCCAACACCACTGTCACGGGCAGGACACCTTCTACTAGACCAGGTTGCTCCAAGCCCCTTCCAGCCTGTTTTTGAGCATTTTCAGGGATGGGACATCCACAGCTTCTTCAGGCAACCTGTTCTTATGTTTCACCACCCTCACAATGAGAAGTTTCTTCCTCATACCTAATCTATATCTACCTTCTTTCAGCTTAAAGCCATTGCCCCTTGTCCTTACTCTTTGGGACCATATAAAAAGTTCCTCTACAGTTTTTTTGTTGGCCTCTTTAGGAATTGCAAAGCTTCTCTAAGGTACTTCAGCCTGGAGAAGAGAATGTTCCAGGGAAACAAGAAACTCACACTTAACATTGCAAGTAATGATTTTTCACAAGTACTGTGAATGCTTATTGGAAAGCAGATATTTCTGGCATAGCAATGCTATGTTTTATTACTACCACTGAGGTGAAACAGCCCTAAGACCTGTAAAACCAAGTTATTTGAAAGCAGTGCCTTTCTTTTGTTCCAAAACCGTCCGATGCTGGGGGATCGCATTGGCCAGCCATAGATAATGTGTTTCCTGTTGTATACAGAGCTTCATACCTAAGACACATAAGGCTTAAAATTGTGCTTTCACACAGAGCAGCTAGGACAGCTCAGAGATAATGACTACAGACTATAACTCTTAGTAAGACTTCGATGAAAGACAGTTCTACATCGTCTTAACATCCCCAAATCACGTATAACTATGAAGACAAAAAAAAAAGCACAGGTAAAATGATAGGTCAGAATGGGATTAAGCTGAGCTGAGGTTTAATACGACTGATGTGACACCCTCCAGGCACTTCCTATCTGTGCTGCCCCTGGTAGCAAAGACAGTTTTTTCAGGAGTGGAATAGAACACAACAATAAACTGGTTTACTATCCACTAAACACCTACACAACTAATAATGACTCAATTGCACAATGAGCTGTTCCAGTCATGCTTCTGAAATGAAATGTGAAAGAAAGGAGGGTCCTAACTTAGGAACTTACCATGTAATGATGACTCTGATGAGGATAAATCATTCAGACAAATGTTTCCAGACCTTGGCACCTGCTGGAGTTCTACCCCTCTCTCTGTATGTCCAGTCTTTAAATCACGCAGTCTCTCTATGGGGATGGAGAGAAGGATTCTCTGTAAATTAAACTGAAAGTGTTTAAAATTCTAGTGAATTTTTCTAGCTTGAGGTGAAACAGTTTTCCTCCAGGAAGCAAAACTGGAACACTCATTCACCCCAGCTAATGGCAAGTACAATTTGCTGAGAATTAGAAGTCAATGTTCCTACTCCATGGGTCAAAGCTATGCATCACTGCATTTCATTTTCAGAAATTATGGCTCCACATGTGCTGTTTCTTCCTGTATAATTAATCTTCTGACAAAGATCATGTGGATTATGGCTACTCCTACTTCCAGTTTTAGGAGGAGACACCCATTTTAATAATTTCCAGTTGCAAATAGCTCTATAGTAAAACCATTAGGGAAATAAGGACAAAGTCTGAAAATGTTCACCCAAAGCAATACTAATCACTAACTATTAATCACCAAAGTTGTGTGGAGATGGGGGAATAGTAGAAACATCTGCACAACCATGCAAAATATAGCACTTGAGAAGGATGTGCTAGCCAATGCTGGAAGCACATAAGTGTTTTTTCCCTATGAATAAATACTTGGCAAAGTCACTTCTCATTCTAGTACTGTATGTCAGTCACCACAGGACAATGTTGACTGAGGATTTTTAAGGAAGTACGCCCTCAGCAAGTTTGCCGAGGACACCGAGCTGTGTGGTTCGGTTGATACGCTGGAGGGAAGGAATAACATCCAGAGGGACCTTGACACGCTTCTGAGGTGGGCTGATGCCAGCCTCATGAAGTTTAACCATACCAAGTGCAAGGTCCTACACCTGGGTCAGAGCAATCCCAGGCACAGCTCCAGGTTGGGCAGAGAAGAGATTCAGAGCAGCCCTGTGGAGAAAGACTTGGGGGTGTTGGTTGATGAGAAAATGAACATGAGCAGGCAGTGTGCGCTTGCAGCCCAGAAAGCCAACCATATCCTGGGCTGCATCAAAAGGAGCGTGACCAGCAGGTCAAAGGAGGTGATCCTGCCCCTTTACTCTGCTCTTGTGAGACCTCACTTGGAGTATTGTGTGCAGTTCTGGTGTCCTCAGCATAAAAAGGACATGGAACTGTTGGAACAAGTCCAGAGGAGGGCCATGAGATGATCAGGGGACTGGAGCACCTCCCATATGAAGACAGGCTGAGAAAGTTGGGGCTGTTCAGCCTGGAGAAGAGAAGGCTGCATGGAGACCTCATAGCAGCCTTCCAGTATCTGAAGGGGGCCTATAGGGATGCTGGGGAGGGACTCTTCATTAGGGACTGTAGTGATAGGACAAGGGGTAACGGGTTCAAACTTCAACAGGGGAAGTTTAGACTGGATATAAGGAGGAAATTCTTTCCTGTTAGGGTGATGAGGCACTGGAATGGGTTGCCCAGGGAGGTTGTGAATGCTCCATCCCTGGCAGTGTTCAAGGCCAGGTTGGACGAAGCCTTGGGTGACATGGTTTAGTATGAGGTGTCCCTGCCCATGGCAGGGGGGTTGGAACTAGATGATCTTAAGGTCCTTTCCAACCCTAAATATTCTGTGATTCTATGATTTTACATTTGGCGTAAGCTGAGCTGAACCTGTG